ATATTGGAAAGCCCCAATTTGAATAAGTAAACCTTTTTAAAAATAAGTCTTTTAAAAAAATTATTTATTATTTTCACTTCAAAAAAACCTATAGTGAGCTTCAGGCTAAATACAATATCAGATTTAAGCTAAGTTAAATAAACAATAATTGAGCGTATTAAAAATCAACTTCGAGTTTCAGAGTGTTGTATATATATATATATATATATATATATATATATATATATATATATATATATATATATATATATATATATATATATATATATATATATATATATATATATATATATATATATATATATATATATATATATATATATATATATATATATATATATATATATATATATATATATATATATATAGCAACAAGTTCATGAAATATCTTTTGTACTATTTTCAACTAGACTTATTTTCATCAAGAAATTTTGAATTTCATAGTAAAATATTTTAGTGTTTAAAAGTTATGACCATATAAAGTTTGCAACCCCCTCAAATTGAGGGAGGTTTAAACTTTATATGGTCATCATTTAATATGGTCAAAAATATTAAAAACAATTTATAAAAACACAAATTAAAAAAAGTTTATTAAAAGAAACCTTTGAAAATATATACTTTCAAATTTTTTGTTAAAAATTGAAAGTTTTTAAACCATAAAATTTAAACTAGTAATCTTAATATAAAATGATTATTATTTTTAAAATATTTATAAAATTTCACTTCTTTTGAAACCCAACATAATATACTTTTGAGAAACTTTTTATATATGAATATATATATATATATATATATATATATATATATATATATATATATATATATATATATATATATATATATATATATATATATAATACAAATAGGTAGATACAAATGTATATTAGTATGCACCTTTTGATTTTTAATTACCCGCTGCAAAATGCCTTAGGCTTGTAACATATTTGCAAGTTAAACAGCTTACACATTGTTGTATAAATCATTAGTTGGGCTATGTGAGTGTAACACAACCTAAAGGTTCCTTAGGCAGTAAAAAGTAATTGTATATATATTTATATATGTATATATATATATATATATATATATATATATATATATATATATATATATATATATATATATATATATATATATATATATATATATATATATATATATATATATTATTATTATTATTATTATTATTGTTATTAAAAAAACTCATCTAATCAGAAAGAAATTTTTCTCCTGATGAACCTACTGATAAAGAAACAAATTGTTGAAGACAAAAATTAAATAATTGTTTCGACTATTTTATTATTGCTGTTCTTTAAGAACATTGAGCACTCTGTTCGTAAAGAGCGCTCTAGAATAAGCTGACATAATTTGAAAACTATAGCAAGCATTATTAATAATTATACCTTTATTTCTTTTATTTTCTCTTTTTTTTGTGTACAATATTTCACAAGATTTATTATTATGCAACCATTAATTATCAGCATACAACTGATAAATGTAAGTTGAAATAATAATTACTTTAATAAAACTACACATGTCTTTAGATCTTTTATACTTTGATTGATGAAAAACAATAAACGTCTAAATATCTTGTAACGAACGTCACCAAGATAGTAGAAAAACAACTTAGTAACAACATATAAACTTAGTAGTTATTAAAGTTAAAGCTTTTTATACTTTTTTTAAATGAAAGAAAAGTCTGTGAAGCAACAGAACTAAAACTTGTTAGTAAGTGATTATCAATTTCAATTATTTATTGTAAAGTTGATGATTTTACTTTTGCAGTCGTGGAAGAAACCAACATATCCTGAGCTTTTTAAAAACTATGAAAACTATTTAAAAAATTATTCATACAATATTTTTTGTCATGTTTTATACTTGTAAAGTTACTTTCTAACAGCTATTATAAAGTAAGATTGCATCAAGTTGTGACAATAAACATTCTAAAGTAACCAGAGTAAATATTAAACTAACTTTCAGCAAAGTAGTTTCATTTTGAACATAAGAAGATTAATAAAGGTAACAAATTTATACAAAACAAATACAAATTATTAAACAGTCTGTTCTTTATATTTCCGTTCAACTCTAATTTTTTTCGTGCTTTTTTTTTTACTTCTTCAATTTTCAAACTTTCAAACATTATTAATATGATTGAAATATGCAACTTTAATTGAGTAAATATAAACGAATTAGAAAATAAAACATAAACAAATCTTCGAGCGCAATCTCTATATTTTCTAATTCCGTTCAGCGTTCTGGGGCTTTCCTATATAACGATTTTGGCGTCAGTTTTGATATTAGAGATGCGCTATCCAGTTATTATAGAGATCAGTGGTGGCACATGATATTCTAACAACAATGATGTTCGAGAAATAAATGCTTCAAAACTGGTGTTAACATCGTTTTTATTGGTAACTTCATTCCAACCAACTTTTAATTATTCAGATTTAAATAATTCTTTATTAAAATTTTTAAAGCTACAACGGTATAATTTATAATTGCGTGTTATAAACAATTTGTTGAAATTAAGAGAAACAAGAAGTTAGAGATACATTGGCAAAGGTATAAAAGGCCCAATCATCATCCAGAATACAGTAAGAAATTGCAATGTTGCATTGTTGACTTCAATAGTACATACATTGTTTGTGAAAAGTCATTTCAAGAAGGGATTTATGGGTAAATTATTTTTGAATTTGTTCCATTTAAAAGAAACGTTATACAAGTATCCAACCTAAAATATATTCAAAATAGTTTTCTTCTGAATATATTTTAAGTTGGATACTTGTATAACTTCAAGAATACAATATTTTTCTTTCCTTGTTTATATTTAAGTAAATTGGAGATTTTTAATACTATAAAAAGTAAAATTTTGCATGTTTGCACAATCAATAAAATTTTTGATTTAAAGCAAGACGTGTTTAACAAGTTTATAATACGTATTAATACGTATATTAAACGTTTAAAACACGTTTTTTGTTAATTAGGGTGAAAATTCAAATGCAAATAACTTGCCAGGACGTTGTAATCTGATTTTGATACTAATATCTGAGTGATCCCTATAGTAAGGGCTATCCTTCCATCAAAGGGTTTTCCTGGGTCAGAAAGTTAAGGTTAGAATCTATTTTATAACACTGCGAAGTCGTCAAGTAGAGCCTGCCAATACCTAAAAAACAAAGACAAAAAATTATTACTGTCCTCTCAATTTATCATGCATGTTCAATTTTCATTCAATTTGTAAATTCTAACTCATAAATCTACACACACACCGTAATATGCATAGCTTGTTGAACAGCCTAACTTTAGATATGTTGTGGATTAAATAGCTGACCTTAAGCTATTACTTAATCTTAACTTAATCTTAAACCAATAGAATAACTCAATCTTAAACCAATACAATATCTTAACCTTAAACCAATAAAACTACTATATACATCTACACATTAATTTATTCTAAATAAATAAAAAACATATTAAGAATGGTGTCATCTTATTGATATTTTTAAAATAATTTTCAATCCTAATAGATATAAACTATTTTTATATTTTGAATATACTTTTTCATGAAGGTTATATAAAAATATCTTGAAATAATAAAAAAAAATCCAAGTTTAAAAAAAATGTATTAATTATTATGGTTAAAGATAATTTATGAAATATAGATATAATAAAAATACAAAAGAATTTTCAGAAATAAAATAAAATTATCATCATCATTATCAAAAAAAAATTGTTGCATTCTTTTTGATATTTGCCAAAACAAATTTTTTAGTAAAAAGACATACAACTGAGCAGCTTTGCAAGCCACAACGCAGTACCAATTTCGCAAGTCATTAAGTATATGACATAATTTTGAAATTCACAATAATTGATTGGATCATAACTTTACTTAAATAACCTTAATCCAAACATCAAGATTTATAGTACTCTGATACCTTGTATCAGATGTTTATCAACAAACCACAAAATGATCAGATGTTTATCAACAAACCACAAAATGCTTTTGTTTTTGAACATGCAACATACAACAATGGTTGTTAATGAATATAAATGAGAGAAACACAGCTTTTTAAGATATACACAAACATATGTTTGTGGTTATCTTAAAAAACTGACATTAAACTTAAATTCTCATAAAAAAACATTTCAATTTGTAAAAATAGAAAATTCTGTTAACATTTCAGTTTATTACTAATACAATTTAACAGTATGTTTAAACAGTTTAAATATACTAATCATAATTTCTAAATTACTAAAATTCTTAAAATTTTGCAGCTGTTTATACTTTTTATTCACAGTAGTTACCAGTCTTTACATTCCTGGAAGTCTTTCAATAATAAAACTGTTGTAATCAATAATCAAACTCAATAATAAAAATGCTTATCAATTTTTTAATAATTTAATAATAAGTTAATAAAATTTATCCTACATAAAAATAATTAATGAAATTACAATAAAAAAATATATAAAAAAAGTATACAAAAAAAAAAAAAAAATGCAGAATAAAATCCAGATCTTTTGCATACAATTTTAAAATTTAATGGAAACATAACTTTGAAATGCATGAATACAAAACAAAGCATAAGAAAAAACACAAAATAAAAATATAAAAGTAAAAATATTATTTACTATGAACAATTATTAAGATCTGATACCAAAAAGATAAAACAAAAGTTCTTAAGCAGCTTTTTTCTTCCGCCTGCAAATTTCAATACAAACAGTTTTGGACATAATCAGTGGAAATCTGAAAATTTTAAACGAAAGATTGGACAAGCTTGAGACCAATGCTAATGTAATTAAAATAAAAAATATTGAAAAAGAAATTGAAGAAACGAGCAATAGCATAAACTTTAACGAAAACATTATTAATAAAATAAATCGAATAGCAAACAAAAAGAAAAGAATAGAAAATGAAAAAAAACATCGAAAACTTGAAGATCGTTCACGTAGAAATAATCTACGAAAAGATGCTTTATACGAAGATGAAAAAGAAACTTAGGGGATAAAGTCTATTTGTTTATTAAACAAAAACTTGGTGTTAAAGATATTAAAAATCGAGCGTGCCGATCTGACTAGACAAAAGAAAGACGGAAAATCTCGAACAATAGTTCTCAATCTTCAACTATATAAAGATAAAGTGAAAATATTAAAAGTACTAACTCGATTAAAAGGAACAAACATTTTCGTTTACGAAGACTCTTCACTCGAAACCATTGCTATCAGAAAAAAATCGTTTACTGACATAAAACGAAGACGCTTAAACGGAGAGAATGTTGCGGTTCGGTATGATAAAATTATTTGTTTTAAAAATTTTATTTATGATAACAATAGAAAAAAGTAAACAAATTCACATTCTTAAAAAAAACTCTTTTAAACATCTATAAAACAGTTGTGGCTGCATTAAATAATTTTGAATCTCTAGCGTTGAATTTTTTTGAAAAATAATTTTTTTCCAAGGACGAAAATTCCCTCATTAATTTTTATTGCAAGACTTGGTCAGATTGCTCGCATATTTTTCCGAACGAACTAGAAGTGTATCTTTTTAAGAATGTTATTGACAAAAATTCAAATCAAATTAGAATTCTCCATCTCAATATAAGTGGTCTAAATAGTAAAATTGAAAAACTTTTAAAGCTTCTAGAAGAAACGAAGAACCTTTTTAATATAATATACTTAACAGAAACGTGGATTACATTAAAAGATCTAAATAATAATTTTCAAACTCCGCATTTTAATACTATTTCTTTGGAGAGACAAATAAACAAACGAGGTGGTGGAGTTCTAATTTATGTGCACGAAACACTAAGGCTTGTTTTTGGAGGCGATTTGAGCGTTTCTGATAGCGACAAAGAAGTTTTAACAATTGAAATTGAAAACAACCAAACAATAAACTTATTAATTAGCTGCTGTTACCAGTCACCTCCTGGCATGAGTGAAAACCTTTACATGTTTTTGCAAAACATCATTAAAAAAGGCCATGCCGAAAAGAAAAAAAATATTTAACTTGAGGATTTTATAAAATGGTGCCGGAGCCAGTTTTTAGACCTCGGCTCCAAAGTCCTGATTAAAAATATCAGTTAAAATAATATTATCAATTAAAGTCGCTGAGTTTATAGTTACTCTGATACTCGGTGTAATTAAGGCATTTTACAAAATATTCGAATACTTATATATGGAATTAGCATGATTTTGTCAGCATATTATGTCCAAACAAGATCTTAAAATGCCATAATTTTTTTTTGCTTAAGGTTTTCATAATATTCAAAGAAATTTCTTTTTTATCTATAATTTTCAAAACCATTTTACTACCCGTAATAGTGTATCTAAAGAACACTATTTTGGAGTCTTTAGATCAATTCCGCTCATCGGCATTAATATAAATTTAGTTAAAATCTTTTGAAAAAGTTTCTTAATTTACTACTGATTCTAGTTCTAATCGGTTCTGACGTATATTAACTATATATAGTTGTCAAAACACAATATTTCTATCAACTTTTACAAAAAATACTGGAATTCCGACCAAGAAAGAGCTTATAATTATAGAAAATTGCCAATAAACGATCAGAACAGATCATATTATTAAACTATGATGTTTATTTCACCTAAAAAACTTGTTAATATAAAATCTTATTTAAATTTGGACGAGCGATTGTGATTTTAATATGATTTTTTTTAAAAAAAAAGAATTATCGGTCTAGATTTTTTCGTTACAAACATTTATACTTTATGATAGCGCAAAGTTTATTATTTTAAGTTTCTTCGTTTTTTTCATAATTCACAAACCAGACCATTTAACGGGAAAATGTCGCAATCAACAAAATATCATACAGACACTCCATTATTTTAAAAGTGCCTTAACTACACCGAGTAGGGTGATTGGTAAGGGGGATTGATCCTGTTTCTAAAAATGTGTCATAAAAACTTTTTACTTTTTGATAATTGTTATAAAGAAAACAACTCAAATTAAATTTAATATACAAAATGGTGCCTGATATTAAATTTAATATGAATTGATTTTTTATAACAATTAATAAAAAGTAAAAAGTTTTTATGATTTTTGAAACAAGATCAATCCCCCTCACGAATCGCCCTACCCGAGTAACAATAAACTCAGCGACTTTAATCGATAATATTATTTCAACTGATATTTTTAATTAGGGCTTTGGAGCCAAGGTCTAAAAACTGGCTCCAGCTCCAGGCTCCGGCTCCATTCAAATTTTTTGGCTCCAGCACCAGCTCCGGAGCGGCTCCGCAAAAAAAACTATAAATCAAAAAATTTTCAAATGTTTTTTGACAGTAACTTAAGTACTATTAACATTTTATTATTCAAAATCTTGATTCATCCTTAAAAGAGCCGAAAATAGCCTCTCTATACTTGCTTGTGAGATAAGTATACAAGTGACAACTCTGCACGCTTCTTGTATTCTTTTTGGTTATTCTTCAATTTACTCAAAAGCTGAATTCACTTTTGAACGTCCAATTTGTTCCATTATCCTACAGTCGTCCAAAAAATTTGTATTAAAAGTATTTTTATCAAAAAAATTAAAAAAAGAAGTGTGAACAAAATTAATTTTGGTCACACTTCTTCTTTTTTTCTTTTTTATCAAGCTCCTTTTCAAACTCATCCTCTTCTCCATCGGAATTAGATTCACTTAAAACTGAAAAAAGTGCTGTAGATAGCACAGCAATAGTTCTTATTTCTTGAATTTCTATTATATTCTTAGCATCTCTTTTATAACTATTTTCTGCTATTGTTTTTAAGCCTTGTTTTGCTCGTAATATTTGGTTTTATTCCAATAGTAATCTATATCTAGCAACAACATACTTATTTCTGCATAAATTTTAAAAAGTCTTCTCTAGGACAGATTTCAATTCAAACGTTTCTAGCTGCAATAGTAGGCTGCGGATGTGAATAACACAGCGCATCAGCTTAATGTCAGTAGACATTTGTTGACACATTCCGGGTTGATAAAGTCTAGATTTTCTTCCTGAGCTCCTTCACTTTCTTTTTCATTTGTATTCTGTTGTAAAAATTTCACTTGTTCTTAGTCATGCAAAGCTTCATCTCAAATATTTTTATCACCTAAATATTTGTTTAAAATTGTGATTGCTTTAATCATGCTAGCTGCATTGTCTACACTTGTACAAACTATTTGATTATTGTTGATACCAAATCTATATGGAGTGTCTTCCACCATTTTTTGATAGCATTTTCTTTGGGCCATAAGGCTCCTTTCAGATTCAACAACTTTATATTCTGATGGATGTGATTTTTCCAAATGCCGTTTCATATTGTAAACTTTTGATTTTTTTATTTGCATGGAAAATAAAATCACTTTATCATTTAACTTTTCTGTAATCTTACATGTAACCAGTTTTGTAGTTTTATCAATTGAAAAATACGTATCTAGAAACCTCTCAAAATCGTTTGAGTTTGAAGCTATTTTTATAACTATGATAATCAAGTAAATGACAAATTTTAAAGATAAGAGAAATAATAAAAAAGAGAGTATAAACAAAAATAATATCAAAAATAAAACGTTAAAGTCTTTTCCTAATTTTATTTAGAATCCACATGTTTATATCTATTTTAAAAACTTTTCAACTAATTAAAAACGTAAAAACAAATCATGTGACTTAATACATAAACAAAGTATTTTATCGTTAAGGATCGTTCATAAAGTACTTACATAAAGGATCGTCCATAAAGTACGCTCTAAGAGAGGAGAGAGGTCAATTATAAAAGTAAGGAGACACTAAATTAAAAAACGTATCAAAAATGTTGCGTAGGTAGGTTAAAAGTATAGGTACTTTTAGGTAAAAAAAGTACCTACCCTTTTTATTTCAAAAAAGTGTAAAGCAAAATGCAGAATAAGGGGGGAGGGGGAGATAAAAAAAAAGCTTACGTACTTTATGGACGATCCCATAACCAATAATTGAAATTGTTTAGAAGTATTGTTTTAAAGTAACTTATCATACTCTACAAAAAGAACCACATGATATATTACACAAAATAATTGGGTAAAAATTAAATTCTCAAAAAAAAAAAATATTTTTTTTATTTTATGAACCTTATAAAAAAATGCATTATTTAGAAATTATAATTATTTTAATAAGCGTAATTGTTTAAATTTTTAAAAAAATCTCATAATATAAAATAATAACTTTATGGAAATTTGATATTTCAAAATATTAAAAGGGTAGAGCTGGTCGGGACTGGCTCCAGAGCCAGCTCCGGCAGAAAATATTTTAGCTATAGCTCCAGGCTCAGCTCCATGTAAATTCACTAGCTACGGATAGCTCTGACTCCAGCTTCGGAGCTGCTCCAAAGCCATGTTTTTAATGATGGTATAAAAAAGGTATTTTAAAAATTGATATAACGGATCATTTTTCTATTTTTGTAATAAATGGTACGCATATAGAAAAAAACAATAAAAATAATAACATTGACAATACAATTGAAGTATTACTAATCAGAATAAACTTAATCTATTCAAAGACCAACTATCCTTACTCCGTTGGAATAATATTAACTTAAATGGTAATGCAAGCGACATATATGAAACTTTCTTCAAAACTTTTTATTCTGTATACAACGCTAGCTTTCTCATATTTGAAATAATAGCAAAATCTAAAAGTTTGAATTCTCCTTGGATTACCAAGGAGTTTAAAAAAATCTTTCAAAATCAAGCTGAAATTATATATAAATTTTCTAAAAACAAAAACAACTGCAAACAAAAAAAATTACAAGAACTATAAATATTTATTTAAGAAAGTTTGTAAAAACTAAAAAAAAAAATTAATACTCGGAAAAACTTATTAAATTCAAAAATAACACTAAGCTCATTTGGGAAATAATGAAGAAAATTACAGGAAAACAAAAATCATGGTTTGGTTTTCTGCCACAAATGATTCAAATTGATAAGACTAGTATATTTGAACCAAACACTATAAACGAAATAGGTCCTAAACTATCAAATAAGATTCCAATCACCAGAACATCATTTATTGACGTCTTATCACCTTTGGGTAAGTGCATATGCTCTGATGAGCTATCCTCTAATTTATCAATTGAAGAACTTGAAAAGGCGTTCAAATCTATTTAAAAAAATAAATCATGTGGACCAGACGAAATAAATGGAAACATGATTATTGATTGCTTTGAGCAACTAAAAGATGTTTTTTTCAATGTTTTCAATGCTTCAATTAAAGAAGGAATTTTTCTAGAACAATTAAAAATTGCCAAAGTTGCACCTATTTACAAAGAAGGTGACCAATTCCAAATAACTAATTATTGCCCCATATCTGTGCTCTCTGTATTTTCAAAAATCCTAGAAAGAATTATGTGCAACAGAATATATAAAAACCTAGACAAAAATAACCTACCCTATGTTAATCAACTTGGTTTTAAAAAGGATAGCTCAACAGAGCAAAAGAGCAAAGCAATTTGTAAACAGAGCAAAGCAATTTGTAAATGAAATTTCAAAATCTTTTGAACAACAAAATATACATTAGGTATCTTTATCGACCTATCGAAGGCCTTCAATACGGTTGACCATCACATCCTACTTGAAAAGCTGAAATACTAGTAAATAACCAAGTGTTAAGGTGTTTCAGAAGTTACTTTAAACAGAAAACAACTTTTTGTTGGTAATGACAACTATCATAACAATTGTTTAAATATAACGTTTGGAGTTCCACAAGATTCAATTCTTAGACCCCTCTTTTTTTTAATTTATATAAACAATCTAAATAAAGCAATTAATCTGATGAGCATCATGTTCGCTGATGATACTAATTTATTCATTTCTTAGAGTGATATTAATGAACTTTTTGCCACCGTAATTAAAGAAATTAAACTTTTATTCCACTTGATTAAATTCAATAAAGTAACATTTTATACTGACAAAACTAAATGGACACTTTTTCATTCGCTTTGGAAAAAAATATATTTACACTTAAACTTGCCTGAAATCTTTATTGATAATATTGAAATAAAAAGAGACTCAGTTATTAAATTCTTAGGTGTTTATCTCGATGAGAACATTACTTGGAGTTAACATATTGTTTATGCATGCACTCAAGCTTTTAAAAACATTGGAGTTTTATACAAAACTCGAATTTATCTCAACAAGAAAAACTGAAGACAACTTTATTTCTCATTTATTCACCGCTACATAAACTACGCTAATATTGCCTGGGGATTTTGTGCTTTGTTTATATGAGGAAAAACAATCTATTCTCCCCGAGTCTTTAAAGATCTTTTCAGTTTAAAACCTAGCAACAAATTCACTCTTGAAAATAAAAATTTTTACGAACCATTTTGTCAAACAAATTTTAATCAATTTTGGCTTCCCTATCGTGCACCACACCTATGGCATAAACTTCTTTTACCAAATTTTGATTTTGATCGACCAAATTCTTTTTTTCTTTTTAAGAACAAAATAAAAAATTAAATTTTTTCCCTCGATAACATTTTACAATATTACTAATTAATTTATCTATTATTTAAATTTATTTTGGATTTTTATTATTTTTCTCAAAAGTTTTGTTGTTTGCAACTATTTATATTGTTTTTACATTTATATATTTTGCTTATATTGTTTAAAGTTTTGCTTATGTAAAAAATTCTATATATGTATATATATATATATATATATATATATATATATATATATATATATATATATATATATATATATATATATATATATATATATATATATATATATATATATATATATATATATATATATATATATATATATATATATATATATGTATATATATATATATTCTACTTTATTGTAACGTATACGTAGCAAGGTATTTGTAAATTAATTTGTTTATTAGGTTCCGACGATCTTAGTTATTTTTTTTACATTGTTATCACGCTTTGTATATATATATATTTATAAAGTACTTTTAATAGTTTATTTTATTGTAACACGACTAACATTGTAAACCAAAAAAAAAAATCTCAACCAAATAAATGAAAAGTAATATTTAGTGTATTTAAACATCCTACTAACACGATAAAGTAGAATAAACTTAGGGGCCATCCATAAAGAACGTCACCATTTTTTAGTTAAGTTTTGACCCCCTCCCCCCCCTTTATCACCGGTTGTCCTTTTCCCCTATACCCCCTGGAAAGGTTGTTATAAAATCCCTCCCTATTTTTAACCCAAAAAAAAATTATTTTATCTTGCAATGATGTTTGAATCTGCTGCTACACCTTTCAAAAATAAAATTAAAAATATTCTTATTTAGTCTAAAAGTCACATAGAAACATCAGAGATAAACTCATATTTATCTTTTACTTCAATTTTTTAAAAAGTTCCACAAACGGTCCTAAGTGTGTTAGGCCGTGTTTTTTAGCAAAAGAGCTGCTTTCACGGGGAATTTACTTCCAGATAATACTGTTTTTTTGGCAAAGCACAAACCTTTTGAAAAATAATTTAGACAAATACATGAAGCCAAAATTATTTTTAAAAGTTAAATGAAACTTGAAAGTAAAAACTGCAAAATGAAAATTCATAGTTACTATAGCTCATTCTTCGGCGACGTTGTTGCCTGCAATAGAACTTTACGCAAAGATTAAAGCGCTGCGTTCTAAACTTAGATCTTATAACTTTTGATTTGATTTATAACCAATTTGAATTTATCAAAGCCGAAGTTGGAGCTGGAGATATGGAGGTATAAAATCAAGTGGAACTCTGTAACATTCGATGCATAACATACAATAACATGATACACTTATTGTTTGTATTACTAAATTTACGATTTTTTTTTTTTTTTTATTTTTATTTAAGGGTGTGTATCAAATATTTAAATTGTTTGCACAACAAAGTAAATTTTTAACTGTGCTGGTTGTTTGCACAACAATGTATATTTGCAAGTTTCCCTCAACTTTGCTATTGCGTTTTTTAAAACTGTAAGTTTTTTTGCAAATTGCAAATCTTTGTTTTTTTAATTTCATTAATAGTATAACTTAACGTTATTTTAATGCTCAAGAAGGTTTTTTTAAATGTTATATGATAAAAACATAAATCAAATATTATTTTCATAATGAAAGGTCAAATATTATTTTCATAATGAAATGCGTAAACCAAACTCTATTCTGGAAATGGAGGTGATATCTTCAAGTCATTGTTGATCATATATTTTAAGTTTTGAAAAAGAAAATTAATCACGTAAACAAAACTTTACTCTGGAAATGAAGGTGACATCTTCAATTTATTATTGTTCATATTTTATTTTTTTTTTAAATAAAATTTAAAAAAACGATCTTTGAACTTTTGTAACTTTTATGTAACTTCACTTAAACGAGACATAAAAAAGTTTTTTTTATAGTTTTATTAAAAGTGGAACATTAATATATGTGCAAGTGGAACATTAATATATGTGCAAGTGGAACATTAATATATGTGCAAGTGAATTTAATGTTTTTATATTTAATTTAATCAAATTAAATTAAGTTTGAATAAAGAAATTAAGAATAAAGATGCTTATTAAAAATGCATTTTAAGTTTGTGTAAGAGATTGTTTGTAAATACGCACCGCTAAATTTCTTTAATGAACAAAAAAGATCAGAATTTTTACCTCCCAAATCCATAAGTTAATTAAAAAATAAAAACCACGTAAAAGAGCTTAAGATCTCCTACTTTTTTTTAAAAAAAAAATTTACCGTTGCGTAATTTATGGAGGATACCTAACGAAAGTTAAATTTGTTCGGATTTTATCTTTGAAAGTTTTTTTTATTTTTATGTCGTGTAAATATGTACATTCTGTAAGATATTACCGTTAAATACTGACAACAGGGGTAAGAAGAAGACTTAATAGGTCTATTTGCCGAGCCCCTAGATAAATTTCGTAATTATATTACGTATACAATAATTTTTATTCTCTATATTTACTAAAATAATTGAAAAAGTCATAAATATAGAATGTGAAATTAAAATAAGCATTAAAATATTATTATTTATGATTGATAAATATAATATGCTTTTATTTTTATAATAACTGCGAGAGGAATTCTTTAAATGCCTTACATGGCAGATTTTGAAACTATGATTAATTATAAGAAAAAAGCGTTTTTTGTTGCAATTCCTAAAGACAATTATTATTGTTTTTTTTGTGTTTTTTTTGAACAAGTCGTAGCAAATTATTTTATTGTTTTTGGGAACTTGAATAATAGTTTTCTAAAATATATTAACTAAAAATGAAAAAAGGTTTCAATTATGTTGCGAAATGGTCGAGAGCGGAACTGGTTTTCAAAAATGCTCAATGGCTCTCAATCTAACATTAGGTTTTGATTGTAAACAGATGTAAAAAAGTAATCATTTTTTACGCCTGAAATAAGCCAGTAGTGTAGCGCACATTATTAAATCTAAAGACTTGCGGTCAAGTTCGTACTCATTTATATATACATATATATATATATATATATATATATATATATATATATATATATATATATATATATATATATATATATATATATATATATATATATATATATATATATATATATATATATATATATATATATAATAAATTGTTAGAAAAAGTAATATTTATGTAAATAAATTTAAATATAATTTGATGAACTACTGGTGTATGAATTCCAAAATCTATTTAATATATAAATAATTTTTGCGCAATTATGCAATTTAGTTTCATTCAAAAATACACAAAACAATTAAAATACATAACAGTTGTCTGTTCCAATGTTTTCATAGGCTGATTAAATAACGCCAGAGTATAAGTGTTGACCAATTAAATGCAATTATAGTACGCACTAAATCATTTTAGAACGATTCTAACAATGATTGGAGTAGGTGTTTTGCTTTGGCTCATACTTGCTACAACCCATGCACAGCAAAAGTGTTCCAGGTAAATCTTTTGTTTAACAACCAATACTTTAAATTTTTACACTTCAAAATGTTTTCCTGGAAGAATTAATTTTGTTAAGAAAATAATAAAATGTTGTCACAAATAACAATGTTAAAGTTTATTATATTTTAAATGTTTAGTTTAAGAAAGTATTTGATTTAATTTAGTTTAAGAAAACTAAGCCTTATTAGTTAGGTTTTAAGTAAGTTAGGTCATATTAGTCCTTTAGGTCGGTTGTTAAATAGTAGTAGTTAAGTTTCTCCGTTAAAAAGTTTAGTTGAAAAAAATTATGTGAACTAGTTTATTTTAAGTAAGTTAAGCCATGTTGGCTAGTTAAGTAGGTTGTTAGTAGTAAAGTAAAGTTATCATCTAGTTATACTTATATCTTAACAGATTTTATTGTTATAGTTATTATTTTTATTATCATTATCATCAATATTATTTTTTAATAAACTTGTTTCTGAAAGCAAGCCGAATGAATTTCCAGCAGCACCTGAAGCACATGGAATAGATTCAATTAATTTATTATCAGTTGGAGCAAATGTACCATTTTACATTAGTAAATCAGTGTGAGTAAAATCAATTAAACTTTAAATTCAATTGGTTTGGTTAAACAGATATTTTATTAATGTTGTATCCAACAACATTACTTCTGATACAAATAATAATGCTAGTTTTTAGCACACATGATTATAATTTCACACTTTTAATACACTTATAAACACTGTAACTACATGTGGTCGGACAACACGGGGGAGGGGTGGTTTCGTGCCCCCCTCCACTTTTCTTTTTTAAGAAAATTCTAAATATAGAAGACTTTTTTGAAAAATTGACGATTGTGCCCCCCACTACGAAACCCGTGTCGTCGGCTCTAGGGTATTGTTATTTGGTGGTATATTTATTTACCAGTGATAAATAATTCATAAGAATGTTTCTATTTTCCATAAATTCATATTATTATTCATAATATTATTCATAATGTTGTCGGGCCGCCGTGAGCCCGTTGATTATCGTTCGGGTTGCATTATCAAATGACGGGTAGCCGTTTTTTATAAGTTAAAAATTCATTTCATTTACTTTTTTACTACTCAAGTACATGAACTTGAGAATTTTATTAAGTGCCATCAAATTGCGCTTTCTCAATTGCTGGGCTTGTGGTCAATCAATGGAAAGCATTTTTGGCACCCAAAACAACAGAAATGCTATTATTTCTAAACCGCAGTTTTGACTCGTGTGAACAATTAAAGTAAAAAAAAAAAAGATACACGGGAGAGTAAAGCACCATGAAACATCTTAATTTTGGAGGCATCTTAAGAGTTGTGACAACCACTTTGATATAGTGAAACAGTTACTACTTGAGCTGTGTTTAAAAATAAATTATATCATTTGACATCTATAGACTTGTGAGGGATCAAAATTTGTGTTTTTTTGATGAAAAAGTAATTTATACCCCATGGGTGGGGTATTTTTACGTTTTTCCACAGCCCTAGTTATTTACCAGTGATCATCAAACCATATAATCTGATATTAAATATAAGCCAGTAATATTAGTTACTATATAGTAATTAACTTATTAGTATGATATTTTTTTTTTAGTTTACGTTGTAGCGTTTGAATGTAAAATAGTTTCTTTGCTGTAGAAAAAACTCTGTCTGGACTTGGGTTTGTCAAAAAAATACGTGTGTGAAGGTGGATTCTGAACCATTTGAAAGTACAGTTGAACTTGATACCTGTAAGTTGACATGCGGGTCTAGTTCTATGCTCTTTCCGAAACCATCTGGCAAAGCAACATTTGGAAATGAAACGGTTTCATTCTTTCCTACTAAAATTCTTCTTAACAAAATGTTATGCGCATCAAAAGTATGTGATCCAAAAAACACTTTTTATATTAATGCAGCCTTTAACAGATTTCAAAATCAAATTCAGGAGACTTATACTCGGTTGAGCAAAGTTCCAACCATTGCTAACGATATCAACGCTTGCATTGACGAAACAAAGAATCGACAATTTTTAGTTACCATAAATTTAAAATCGAAATACGAACGTTTAACATTGGAAACAGATGAAAGTTATTCCCTTGCTATCACATCTTCAAGTAAACAGATTGACGCAGTGATTACTGCAAAAACATTTTTTGGTGCACGTCATGGCCTTGAAACAATTAGTCAACTTACTGCTTATCTTCGATCCCATAATTCAATGCAAGTTGTAAACAATGTAAACATTGTTGACGACAAGCCTGCATATAAATATAGAGGACTTATGCTAGACACTAGCAGAAACTACTTTTCTGTTGACAGTATATTGCGTTTAATTACAGCTATGTCTTATAACAAAATGAACACCCTTCATTGGCATATTACTGATACGCACAGTTTTCCGATTGAAATTAAGTCTGTGCCACAACTTCTTCAGTATGGTTCATATAGCCCATCGCGTATTTATACTCATTTGGATGTACGTAAAATAGTAGATCATGCAGCAGTTCATGGAGTCCGAGTTTTACCAGAGTTTGATCAACCGGCTCATTGCGGTGAAGGATGGGAATGGGGTCCTAAAGCTGGTCTTGGCAATTTAGCAGTGTGCGTTGACAAAGAACCCTGGCAAAAGTACTGCGTTGAACCACCTTGTGGACAGTTGAACCCTACAAACGATCAGTTGTATAATGTACTTGGAAAAATTTATAAAGAATATTTCGACTTGTTTAACCCAGATATTTTCCATGCTGGTGGAGATGAGATTAATATAAATTGTTGGAATACAACGTCAGAAATAACTGATTGGTTACACAAGAATTACAAAGGAGTTGGGGAAAATGAGTTTATGAAAATGTGGGGAATGTTTCTACAGGTAAAATCAAACATGAATTAAAAAACTTTTTTAATAGGCTATATATAAATAAGTACAAAGCGTATCACAGTTATTGATCTTAAATGTATTTTTTAATTGTATAAAAATTTGAAAAATGCTTTAGAAATCATCTCAAAAGATTTTTGAAGCCAATGAAAATAAAGAGCTTCCATTAATTCTGTGGACAAGTAAAATGACGTCAATAAAGTATTTAAATAAATATATGGATCCAAAAAAACACATCGTTCAAATTTGGACAGCATCGACTGATAATGAGCTTCAATCAATTGTTGAAAGCGGATTTAAAACAATATTTTCTACTTATGATACATTATACCTGGATTGCGGTTACGGAAACTGGTTAGTTGAGGTAAGCTAAAGTTGTTGCTTTTTTTTAACATTTATTAAAAAATAAAAATTCAAATTTTTTTCAATAAGGTTAAAGCCAGTTGCTTAGTTATTATGTAAAACTTTTAAACGTTTTACATCTTCTGCATAACTGTAAAACAAAAATTCACTGTGAACTATTTCAAGTTTATTTTTGTGTTTTGCAAGTATTGATGACTTTCCACTCAAAAAAAAATCAATATTTTAGATGTTTTTAGTTCAATAAAAACACTCCACTTAAAGTCTACTATAATCATAGCCATACGTGTTTTTTCAAAATAAGTTGAACTATTAGTAACATTTTTAAAAAAAGTTTTTGCTCATAGATAAAGTTAATGTGTTAGTTGTTTTTCTGCAATCTTGTTTACTAGTTTAGTTCAAGAAACTTGGTTGATTTTGTTCATGTCTAGGAGCATCTTTTGCAGCTACTTTTCTGCTTTCTAGAATGAAACCACAGCTTCCTTGACCACATCATTGGTAACTATTACCAATTCATAAGAGTGATTGGTGGTGGTAATAAATATAGTGATTTTATAATCGAAGTTTTTTCGCGTCCTTTTTATGCTTAAAATTTTAGTATAAACGTTATTTAAAAAAAAAAAAAAACCGAAATACTTTACTTTCAATTTTTTAAATTTGACTTTCAATAAAGAATGAAAAAAAAACGTAACGGCATTCATAATTATAGCGGCTATTATGGTCTCCTTTATATTTTCTTTAGCAACAATAATGATCGCTCTTAAATTCATTTCCTAAATAGCTCCGGAAGTACGATAAATAGATCCAAGAAATATATTAACAGTTGGTGCAAATGTTGATTTAGTGAATTAAAATGTACCGTTTTACTTCAAATGTGCTATTTTACTTCATTAAAAATGTACTTTTTACTTCACTAAAAATGTACCATTTTAATTCACTAAATCAGCTCGGATAAAACCAATTGAATTTTAAATTCATTCAGTAGTGTAGATCTTTTATTAATGTTGTATTCAACAATAATACTTGCTGGTGCAAACATTATTGCTAATTTTATGCACGCATAGTTGTGTAAACTAAATTAGGATATATTAAAGCAAAAATTTGTGTTATCTAAGGACCTAGGATATATTTTCATATAAAAGATAACTTTTAGCTAACTTTAGAAACAAATGCCCGTAGGGAATAAAAATATTGCACTTGTAACTTCTTTTTTCTTAATTCGCAACAAGTTCAAACACAAAAACTTATTAGTTTTTTTTTTTTTTCTTTGAGTTATTACTTATTTTTTATATATTTATATTCATTAATTTATTTTTTTATAACTTATGCTATCTTTTTTCAAGAATTTAACAAATGCTAATTTGTTTGTGATTTGAACAATAAAAAGTCAGTTTTATCACAACTTTCTCCATGATATTTTTTTCAACAAAAATTTTTCCATGATAAACATTTCGAAAAGTACAATTATTTTTATTATTTTAAACGTGGCTAAAAGTAAAATGGAGAAAATTTATTACAAAAAAAAATGTTTTTTAAAAAATTCCAAAAATAAGTAATTTTCAAAGGGCTCTTTTCATAGTTCATCACACGATTGGTTGACTCATTTTAAAACACCATGCGGTAAATAGAGATTACATTCTATACTTTATTTTTAAAAAATTTATCACTCAAAAATATCACCAAAATTCTGAAATATCGAAAATTGCATTTAGTATTTAAACAGTTTTTAAATTTTTCTACTGCTCAAACGGTGTTAAGCTTGAAATTTTCTTTCCAACTCAAAAAATATTAAACTTGATGTACTTTTTAGATTTTTTATAGCGGAATAAAAATCTAAATGGAAAAAAGGCATTTTCATCAGTGATGTTTTATCATTGAAACTTCATTGGTGACATTTAATCAGTGACTCTTCATCAGTTATATTTCATCAGTGACACTTCATCAGTGACATTTTATTAGTTACATTTCGTTAGTGAAATTTCATCAGTGATCCATAATACATGATAAAGATAATTGCTGAAATATTTTGTTAAAGTATTTTATTAGAATAAAAAAAAAAGCATGAAAGCTATAAAAGATTAAAGCTATCAAATTTTTTTAGGGTAACAACTGGTGTTCACCATACAAAGATTGGAAACTTTTATACGGTAACGATCCTGTTAGGATACTTAAATCATTTAACGTCACAGTGACTCATAAAATAAAAGACAGTATATTGGGTCAAGAGTCTGCTATGTGGTCTGAACAGGTATTACAATTTCTTATTTTATATGTGTGTTTTATTCAAATTCTAAAAAATGTTATCAAAAACAACTAGTTACAGGCACTACACTATTTACTTTAATAACAATGCAGTTTGGTTTTCTTGTTCCAATTGACATGTTATAGTCCAAATGTAGGTAACGTTCAAATTTTATCTAAAAAATTTTTTATCAAAATTCTTTTAATCAAAAAAAAAAAAAGCTAAAATAAGATTTCCGAATAAAATTATAATTCTCGTAAATGTAATTTACAGTAGCAAGTTTTGTATAGGCAAATAATGTAGATGCGTTGCAAGTCAATTTTTAATTTTTGAAATTTTTAGCAAAAATTTACCCTTATTTAACCCGATCGAAAAGCTCAACATGCTCTACGTGTTGTAATATTTTTTCAAAACCATTCTATCAGTTTATCACATTATTAATAGCACCCGCATCATTTAGTAAATGTGAAAAACCCTTACGAGTGGTATTTATTTTATTTATCTTGGGTAGTATACTTGAAACAGTACACAAAGAACACCTAAATAAGGAAAAAAAAAGTACAACCTAGCGTTTGTTTTACACCTACTTTTAAAGATATAGGCTTTTGTCATTTATTAATTATTTTAGAAATATCAAGCAAATCTTTTTTTGTTAGGAATTCTTTGATCAAATATTTTATCTTTTATAATTTTTTTTGCAGAAATTTATACTAATTTTTTTAGAATATTATTTAGGAAGACTAGGTTTATCTTATAAACTCAGAATATTATTAATGGAAAACTAGATTTATCTCCTAAAACTAAAAACAATTTTAATGGTAGATTAAGTTTATTTTATAAAACTATAATATAAACAAATATTTCGTCAAATTATACATCAATACCAAAATACCATGTTTCTTTTTGAAGGTTGATGAATATACGTCCGAGGGAAAAATATGGCCAAGAACAGCTGCACTTGCTGAACGACTTTGGACGAACCCATCACACGATTGGCGTGATGCTGAATACCGATTAATTTTTCACCGAGAAAGATTAGTTGAAAGAGGAATCCAAGCAGATGCTTTGCAACCTTTATGGTGTTTACAAAATGCTGGTCATTGCTATTATGACTCAAATATTCAGGGAGAACACTAAAAAGTAAAACCACTGCAACCCATCATCCCATCAACCCATCATCCCATCATCACTGTGGCTGTATTTCCATTCTTTATCTTTAAGTTAAAAAAAGTTTATTAACTTTTATAAATAATTTTTTTTTTTGTATTCTTCGTTTGATAAACAATAAAAAATTTTATGTGTTATCATTTACAACTGTTATGTAAACATTTATAACACTCAGGAAAAAATGTTTAACAGCTATGCAAAAATTACAAAATTGAATATAATAGATGTTTGTTTTTCTTAATCTATTTTATAATTTATTTTTTTGTCAGCTAAGCTAGTTATTCAGCTAATATCTAAATTCTTTTCAAAAGTATTTTTAAATATTCGTGAATTCTTAAAGGTTATTATGCATGCAGCTGATGCAATATATTGCTACTTTATTGGTGGCCAAAAATTAATTTAATCTATGTTTTGGAACAATATTAGGTTAATATAAAAAAATAGACTTTTATTTTAAGTGATACTGAAAATAATTTTTTTAATTTTTTTTATTTTTATTATAAGTAATACTGAAAATAAATAATAATAAGTAAAGTAAAAATTAGTAAAATATTAAATTAAGGAAAATTTTCAAATTTCTTGGACCCAAATGACAGGTTTTAGGGTTAGAAAGGCCAACATTTTGCCATGTCATTGATTATATTATTTATTATTAATCATATTTTGTTGAAGCATAAAGACAACCTATGACCTTTACAAATCTAACCATGAAACTGTGTTATAGTCCAAACGGAGGAGAAACTTTTCTTGGTTTTTGTGTGACTAATGATCGGTATCTATCCATAATTTTCTGTGCTATATTTTTCACTCGATTACTTCCTATTAAAAAATATTTTTCTGTTTTAAACTCACTTCTTTGGTCTATAGTTGCGGGTTAAGATACTTTTTAGTGGACTGAACTTGTCTTAATCACATCTTGTTAAGTAGCTTTTATATCGCAAAAAGCTGGAGATATCACAATGCCAACTTGCTTTGATTTAAAAAAAAAGAAAACCATTTAAAAAGAACTTAAAACTCCATAAGAAACGTAAAGGACTAGACTCTAAAAATACTTTTCAAGGTTATTTCTTTTTTATTAGTAAAACATAATAGTAAAATATAGTAATAAATTATAATTGCAAAACAGATTTTATAATAAAATTTACTTTACACATCTTCAAAATAATCTTTATAAGTATTTTTCGAACAGTTCGAACATTCCATTATGTAAATTACGATTGATAAATGTAAACTAATATTTCTGTTGTTTCGATGATTCTGACACTGGTGATTTAAGTTGTAATATTGTTCTTTTTTAAAATTGAAAAACTCTACACTTCTTCCGGAAGCACAACTTTCTTCATTTAAATTACAAGGAAATAAAACTGAAAAAAGGTTAGGAGGATCTTATTGTAAAAGACGGTTAAAAAAATCTTAGAAATTTGCTTGTCTGAAGCATTTAATAGTGTCTAATAAGTAATAGTTTAAGATACTGCCTGCAATATTTGTTACTGCATTCTGTTGCTTCCTCGGCTTAAAATCGTGGCGTAGCAATGGCTTGGCATTAGGGTTGTTCCTAAGAATGCAGCTAAGTTTTTAATAAAATTTATTTTTTATACTTTTAAAATTATTATTTAGTAAATAATAGAGTAAATTAGTATGAATTTGGTCATATAGATTTTGATATTCATGTTGTATAACTGTCAACAATAGATTACGTAACTATTGTCATAAATAAAATAAGAACAATTCAGTTATAATTTGCTATAACTGAAAAAATTGAAAATAATTTAGCAAATGGTGTCAAGAAGCCAGTTCCGCCTCTGGAGCTATTAACGGCATTTAAACCATTTTATGCAAATCTAAATATCAATGATCTAAATATCGAATCTAAATATCGATGATGAAAAAATCTAAATATCAATGATGAAAAAATTTAATAATATCTTCACTTCCAACAAGACTGCAAGCAACCACTATAAGAGTTGAAAGTTACTGAAAGAGAAAAGATGAACTTTATAAAGTAAAATAAAGATTAACAGATGACTTAAAAGATAGCAAGTTATATGAATCAGAAAAACAAGATGAAGGTAGCGAATTCCAAAGAGCTAATGGTTGAGGAAAAAACTAGAAAAATAAGACTTTTTGGAGCACTTAAGAGCAATCACAGTAAAGGATGAGACTTAATTGAATAACAAGTACACAGTAATGAATTTTAGTAGATGGCACAAGGGACGCTAGCTATTTAGATCAACGCCCTATATATAGTATTTATAGAATAGAGGAAGAGAAACAACATTACAACAATGTGGTAATGGTTGCAGGTTGGTTAAAAGAAATGGTATTATTCAAAGATCCACTCTAGATATGGCAACAGTATTCCAAAAAGAATAAATTTGATATTTATAGAGATAACCTAGTATGCACAGGAAGTATTTAAAATGTTTTAAAAACTTATTAAAACAAATATTAACGTTTTTTAAATGTTTTAAAAACGATCTGTGCTTCCTGGGAAAGAATAGAATCCGAAGTAAGAAAATGTCAAGCATGGTAAAGAGATAAAATCTTAGCATATGCTAATTTTGCAAAAGATTTTATATATAGTTTCCAAGAAAGATTGTAAGTTTTAATTCTAGAAGACAAAGGGCAGATGACTCATTGAGCTCGTTACCATTCATAAATATAGGAAAATTTAGATTATTACAATAACGATGAGCTGAAAAAAATTGAGTTTTATATTAGTTAAAGTTTATTAGTCATTGAGAGCCCCATAATGTAGCTGAAGTGAGATTTTAAGACAAGAATAAATGGTAGTACCATCAGCGAACAATGCAACCTTAGATAAGTGATGAGAATTTCTGCCCAAAAAGTGAAAAGAAATGTTTTATGTGGAGTTCCCCAAGGATCTATCCTTGGTCCACTTCTGTTTCTAATTTATATAAATGGTTTTTGCAATGCATCTTTAAAACTAAATTCAGTCATGTTTGCTGACGATACAAATCTATTTCTGACTAACAGTGATATCAAGAATCTATATGCAGACATGAATATCGAACTAATTAAAGTAAATAATTGGTTTAGAGCTAACAAACTCTCGCTTAACTCAGAGAAAACAAAATATATATTATTCCATAAAAAGGCGCAAGAAGAAAACCTTCCTCTTAAGTTGCCTGACCTTATCCTAAATGATAACTTAATTAAAAAACAACCCAGCATTAGATTCTTAGGAGTTCTTGTTGATGAGAAGCTATCCTGGCTTCCTCAAATAAGATATATTCAATCTAAAATCAGTAATATAATTGGTATGATGTATAGAGTTCGCTCATATATCAACAAACAAAGTTTAAAACTAATTTACTTTGGACTAATTCATTGCTTTATCATGATATGCAAACATATCATGGGCAAGTACTCAGCCATCAAAAAATCTATAGTCTACAAAAACACGCATGCAGAATCATTTACTTTAAAAATAAGCGGGAGCATGCAAAACCTATAATGAAAGATATGAAAATGATGTTGATATATTTGTTAAACAGCAAAACCTATATAGAAAGATATGAAAATAAAGAATAGATATCAAAAAGGATCCAAATGTATGGCAAAGTCATTAAGTTCATTTAAGTTTCTGATAAAAAAAGAAATTTTTAAAATTTGATTATTATTTGTGCTTAAAAGGATTACAAAGTAATTTTCTTTATAATCTTATTTATTTGTTTTTATTGATCAGCGCAGCAGTTTTATGCCTATTAGGGTTTTTAATTTAATTTAATATCCATAACCTAATAAAAATGTATATAAGGGGCCCTATGAAAAGATTGCGATGACGTTTTGTCATCTTCATCTTCTTTGAGCCCCTGTCTGTTTAACTCTTTATTTTATAAAGATCATTGTAAAAAAGTATAGTTTATTTTATATACTGTATATACAAAAACGGTGCTTGTTGACAAAATTTTACTGTCTTCTTTGTTATACGGACATTTTTCTTTCTTTTTTGTATATATATGTGTTGATTATATTTGTTAAACAGCAAAATAAATGTAAAAAAAAAAAAAAAAAAAAAAAAAGCTACATTAAATAATTTTACCTCAAAATCTTTTCATTCGTCTTGGTGGAAGTGGGTTGTGTTCTTCAACTTGCTGTAAACTGTTTTTCTTTTTTTATGTCTTCTTCTTAACAAAATCATTTTTGAACTAAAGTTGGAGGATTTGGGGACAAAAAAGTTGTAATTTTTCATTTGAGGCAATGCGCACAGTAAGGCATGTTTTAAACTTGAAAATTTTTCTTGAGAATGATGGCTTGCATTCCTTTATATACACCAAACATATTATTCCCTTTATTATAGCCTCGGCCTCTACAGTTCTTTAACTCAATTTGACCTTGATTCAAAATGTCCATAATCAGCTTCGCAATGTCAGCACTCTTTTATTTTTTCCAGATTTTCTACATTCAAAACGTTTTTTGAATGTAAAAAATTTTAAAAAATCTTTGAAGTTATAAGCTGCTTGTCTAGTGCAGGTACGTTAATCAAAAAAGCAAAGGTACTTATTTCCGTATGAGAGACGTCCAAAGTTTCATTTACAAATATAGAAAAATAAATGGATGCGTAGATCTTTTCGACAATAGCAGCGAACGCAATTTCTCTTCATCCCATAATAAACTCATTTTGAGTTTTCCAGCTCAAAAAGTACGTTACTTGTTTTTAATTTTGAGAAACCTCTTTTAGACGGAACTGAAGTGCTGAAGTGTCTTTTGTGCATTCCAAAAAACTCAAGAAAAAATAAGCTCAAAATATAAGCTCAAGTAAGTATGCTCAAAATAAAAAATTACCATTATTATTTTCTCCCAGCATATTTGATGAACATACACAAATATATACATAGCATTGAATATATACATTACATCTAGATTAATACCCTATGGAACAGTAAAAATACTTTATAAATATAAATCATAAAAACTTAGATTTCTTATAGCTAAATGGAGAGTGGCGTCTATGTATAACTTCACACTACTTAAATATCTAATTTCCTACTGAATTTTTGAATTTATTAGATCAATCAATATAGTAATTTCTGTGCTGAGCTGAAATTTTTAATCTTTTCTCCAAGTTTACACACTAAAAAATTATGCTATTATATTTTAAAAAAATATAACAGCATTGGTATACGATATAACAGCATAAATGGCATTATTTTGCGTCATTATGGTGTTATTATGCTGTTTTTTTTTCAAAAATGCTGT